TGACTTTATGTTGTTATATTATTATATTGTTAATATGAAAATATTGATATTGATGGATTTTATTAGTAATGGAAATTTTATAAAAATTTTCATTTTCCTTTAAAAAAGAAAATCACAAATTAAAACCTTGAAAATTAGTTATGAAAAAATGAGTTTTGCTCATTAACGCATAATTTTTTGGCCCTGTATGAGTTATGATGATCACACAGGTAAGAGCAAATTTATTTTTGCATTATAAAATTTTGATTTTTTTGTTGTAGTTACACTTATTTTACTGTTTATGGAAAATTTTTAAATCCTCTATTCTAGGAAAAGAAATACATAATATTATAAGGAAGTATCTAAATAAAATGTAAATAAATGTATAAGCAAAATTGTATAAAAGAAATGAATATTTGAATTAATATTTAGTTTTAAGAAATACATACAGCGAGTTTGTACGTTTTACTCACACTTTTTTGTTTCCTTATAAATTTATAAAATAAATGTGTTCTACAATGAAAAGCTGGGTTTGGGAATATTTTTCGAAGGCAATGGACAATTTATCCGCAACTTGTAATATTTGTGATGCAGTACTGCGCAAGCATAATTCAACGAGTACATTGATTGCGCATCTGCATAAAATTCATAATATTAATTTTACAGACGAAAGCGAATTGAGTAAGTCAACCGGAAATAGGTTAATAAATTACATATATTAAATTCAAATGCAGAAATAGTATTATATATAAAGCTGTAGTTTATAAGCTCGTTCTAATTTAAAGCACGGCATGTGCTTTGGTTGGTGTCACTAATTAAATAAAAATAAGTGACAATAAAACCTGGAACTTGAGCATTGAAAGTTTGAGCAGCCTTGGTTTCTTGTGGATAAACACGATTAGTCATCGCTTCTAATTTGACAGGCACGAGTTCTAAACCTGGCACTTGCAGTCCAAACAAATTATATACGGACTATAAACTAATCAAATAAAAATTCGATTATTTCTAAAGACCACTGATGAAGAGTACTTGGCAATACTCGAAACAGCGTTGTATGGTCAGCCAAATTTCAATAAATTAAATAAAAAATTTTTGTCTTTGTCCTTTTTTTGCTATTCGAATAGGTCTAACTTTTAAGTAATTATTTTCTTTTAATATCATTTAGCACTGAAAATGTAGATGAAAGTCAGGCTACATCGTCATCTTTACCATCTTCTACGCCTCAAAAACAAAGCAAGAATCGTGCCGAAACAATCATTAACTACATTAATAGCTTGCAGGCGACTTCCATACAACTCTGCATCAAGTTCGGAATTTAAGTAATTTATGTCTATAGTTGAGCCTGGATATACTTGCCCTAGCAGCCAAACAATTGTTCGACGTTTAAGCTTTCTGGAAAACGAAATTCGGAGCAAAATGAAATCAAAACTTGTGAAATCGAAATCCGTTGCACCTGACACAGACTGCTGGACTTCTTCAGCGATGGACGCATATAAATGCTTACTTAATTGATGAAAAGTGGAAGCTTAACATATTAACACTAAACATGCAACTAGTAATTAAAAGGCATACAGCTGAAAATTTGTCACGATATTTGACCGCGACAAAGGAACAGTGGGAATTGTAGAATAAAATTGTATGTGTTGTTAATGATAATGCGAGTAACATTGTAGCGGCAGTTGAAATTACAAGCGAAATTCCAAATGATAGCAGATGTGCAGCACATAACATTAATCTAGCTGTGAAAAGTATATTGACATCTCAAAAAATAACTGACGCCATTAATAAAGGCAGTAAAATGGTTAGTCATTTTCATCACTCTGTTAATGCTTCACGTGCATTGGAAATAACACAGGAACAGCTTGGACTCCCCAAACGAAAATTGATTCAAAACATTAGAACCAGGTGAAATGCAGATCTCCAAATGATTGAACGATTAATCGAAAATCGCACTGCCATTACCACTGTAATTAGTGACAGGTCCGTTACAACTCCAAACCAAGAACAACTCTTAGAAATGCGCGAAGAAGATTGGAGTCTTTTTGAAAAAGAAAAAACCATTAGAAACCATTAGAAGTTGCGACAACTGTGCTATCCAGTGATGCTTCAGCATCGATGGTGCGTCCAATTATAAGATCAATAATAGAAAATCATTTAAAAAATGAATGGCCAGATTTTTTCAACAAATTAGCAGAAGACTTAATTAAGAAATCTGATCTTAATTCTACTACGGTACTGATATCTCAAAAAACATCATTCTTAGGACCTACTACCTGAAACTGTCCCACAAAGATATGCCATCCGGGAAGCTATTCACGATGAAGTCAATTCAATTTTTGGAATAGAGAACGATTTAAATGTAGAAGCACTATCGTCAAGTGCATTAGATTTTTTATTTAATAAAAATTCAACTACACATCCCACCACGAATTCGCAACAATTCAATGCATATTTGGCAGAACCAGAAATCAATGTCAATTTGGATCCTTTTGACTGGTGGAAAGCCCATGAAAAACAGTTTCCTATAATGTTGGCTCAGTTGTATACCTGCAACATCTTTAGCATCAGAAAGAGTATTTTCAACTGCTGGGAATATTGTAACTCCTCATCGGAGTTGTCTTGCCCTAGTAAATGTGGAAACAGACCTTTTTGTATATCACAATAAAGCATTTCTGTCCCATGATTAATTTTTAATGTACTTTGTTTTTTTTCCATAACTAATTTTAAAAGTTTTATTTTTCATTACAAATAAAATAACAAAAACTAATGTGGTTATTTTTGTTTTTTAAAATATACTAACTTTTATTTCGAAAGTTTTTTTGTGTATCTCTACACGTGTTTCGGCAAATTCGCTTTTGCCTTCATCAGGAGAATTCCTAATATTAAAACATCTAGCAATCTTACAAACTATTTATACCATTAACATTATTTTTAATACTAAACTTAATATTAATAAAACCTAAGGTTATTGTCCTTGGGGGTGACAGGTAAGAAATGGTGGCGGGGTTGGTCTGGTGTTGTTTTTATTTTTACATACAGGTAGTTAGGTCGACTGGTTGTCGGTTTTTTGGGATGTATCTAAAAAGGCACGATGACACGTTGCCTTTGTCGCCGTTGAGTAAAGTTGTGGTCTGATGTTTATGTATTTCAATGCTTTCTGCCGTTTCTAATTTCCAGCTATCCCTTACATTTTTGATTATTTGGGCGTTTTCCCTGTTGATGTGGTGATTTTCCTTTACTATATGCCTGGCGACATTTGATTTTATGTGGGGGTTCATTTTCTTCGGTGCTTCTCTTGCTTCCTTCAGGAAGCAAGACAAACAAAAACAAATTCCATCAATTTTTCATGTATTTTATATTATACTAGGTGACCCCGCGAACTTCGTACCGCGTAACAGTCAATGAATGTTATATTAAATTTTAGATTCATCAGCGATCGAGTTTTGTGCTTGAATACACGTGCAGTGATGTCGTGCCGATCACTTGATGTCTGTCCAGGAAGCAGCATTTGAACAATTTCTTTCCATTTTGGATTACACAAACTAATTTTCTTGGTAGTTTCCTCACCTGATTTAAAAACAGTAAAATTAGTATCTTAGAAGTAAGACTCACGTCTATGTTCTGAATTGAAAACTATGATAAACCATTCAATGGGTTTATGAGTTTAATAGGTTTTATATTGAAGTGATATCCATCATCTTCTTGCCAAAACATCAGTGAGTCAACGTGTCATATGAACGGTGTGTTTCACATATCGCGACGTGTAAGCACAATATCGCGTGTGTTCAAGTTTTCTCCAACGATCAGGATTGCAACTTCATCTATTGTTGGAGCGTTAAATTTGCGTTCATGTGTTTCTGCTGGTCGTTTATCCGCTCTGATCACAACTTTGTAGTTATCATGTGGCATGCGCTCCAACGCAGTCTTGAACAGACTGACCAATGCATGATGTTCATGAAGTAGTTGCTGCAGATCTTGAAGAATTGCTATTTTCATTGCTGTGTTGATCTCTTGACGCCGTTCAAGTTGTTCCATGATATTGCCCATGGAGTATATTTCCAAGAATTTATGTTGTGTATCTTCAACAGGTTGCAATGATTCAATATGATGGTGAATCTGGCACTCGCACAAAACAAACATATCAATACTTTCAGGTCATATTTATTAATTATATTTGAATTTATTATATTTGAAATTTGAAATATTTGAAAAAAAAAATTTAAAAAGAAATCAATATCACTCAAACTGTCTAACTCATTATTATTAATCATATTATTAAAGATAATAATTAAAAGTTGTGCCTTAAAGATAATAATTAACTATCATTTATATATGATAAATGATAATTATAAAGAAAATATTGGCCTTGTCACTTATAACTGATTAGGCCTGAGGAAGTAACTGTGTTATGCCTAATGTCCCTCGACAATAAATGCACACAGATTGAGTAGTTTTAAATT